TTTGAAATGGTCATCTGGTGATGAGACCCAATGTAGACGAAACGGTTCACTCAAGTTTTGAGCAAGTCACTCAATTGGCAGCTGATTAAATTGTGGCTGAGTTGCAAGGTTAGTACCTCGGATGTCAAGGGGTTCTATGAATTGTTTTTGAGGAAATACTGTCGCGCTGAGGATTAAGCTGTTTGAGACGAAAGTGCATAGCAACTGCCTGCCGTTGTCATTAGCGATGTTCAATTTCCTGACGGATGAGAACACTGACGCAAATTACATCAACGAATGCAATATGCTATGCCACCGTACGCTAGGAAATAAATCCAGCATCTGCATTTACTTGCCTGTTGGGGTTTCTTCACTGACTTATTGCTGGAAGAGTAACCGCTTCAAGCGTTTGATTTGCAACAACCTCTTTACTTGAAGTCACATCCCTCTAAGAGGCAAAATTTTTGGAGCGAGGCAAAGGTCGCAGTGGATAACTACCGGTCCTTTGCACTTTAAAGATGCGAGTCCAAATCTGATTTGCTGCCAATTCTCTCGAGCAAGGAATTCATTCTATAGTGTAGTTCAGTGCAAACAGCCGAAAAAATGGGCGAAGTCATTGACTTGAGAATATGAATGACAGCACCGGGTCTGAAGTGCCATGTTAAGCTATGTCAAGCGTTCGAAAGTTATGGCCAGGTTGTTTGATTCGACTTCATCGCAGGTTTGCAATTTGCCTTGACCCAGCTGTTGTCCCTTTTCGTTTAACATCGTAATTTAAAGCTAACACAGATTAGGCAGCAAGAAAACCCCCATTTATGATTTCTGACTAATCTGACAGCTGAATATAAATCATTGCATGGTGTAAGCCGCCGATTTCAGTGTCTAACTTGGACATAAAGTCCTTCCATCGGATTATAATTATTTTTCGAGGCATTACCATTCAGCTTGTTTCAGCTGCTTGTTCTAGTTCTAATAATCGCTGCTGCTGTATGACCACCAAAATGCCTGTCGTTCATGTGCGCGTAGTCGAGGCACCGGTGTGCCAATGAAACGATTGTTCTCAGGCCAGCGACCCAATCGATAGTACAAGAGATTGAGTTCATATTTCTTATGGTTGGTTATTCTTTTATGATCTATCCCTATGGAGCAAATGATACATCGAGCACAATCGAGGGTTCTCGTTACTCCAGTCTGAGCATATGCCTGCACGTGAATCAAAGTACGTCAAAGAGTTCATTTGCCGACCAGCTAAACAGTGGCAGTCGCTTTTCCATAACTATGTGATTATGATTGCCGATGAAGATTTTATAATAAGATCGTTCTAATAAGATTTACCCAGCAGATTCTCCTTGGGCGACTGTTTCCCAATTCATAACAGGTGTTCATGGCTATCATACCAAATTGAATTTCACCGTGGTGAGCAATCACTTACTTTGATCTTTGTCTGCTTCGCGCGACAAGGACGAGAGAACAGTTTTCACCCTACCTTGGCCCTCTAAAATCCATTAGATTTCTTGAATTAAATCAGAGCCTCCTTTGGCTCTACTTTTTGCCATTCTCATTCAAAGCGTTTCTAAACGTAAATAGAGGAGAACATCTCATTGGCAGGGTCTTCTGTCTGGTCGAATAGGCAAGTTGCTAGAACAGTATATATGTGAAGAGTAGCTCGAGTAGTTGCTCATGGTAAGAGTAGCAAAAAGTAGTCGTTGCAGCGAACCTGTCGTCGACTCGGTGCTTGTCGGAAACATAAGCAGGCGGATGAATTTTGAAGATATAAAGTTTCGCACAAACGGCCGTCAAGGGGATTAGCATCTTAAAGATCAAAAAACCAGTTGAACGCTTCAGAAACGTTGCAAACATGTATAACATCGTGAACTTGTGAATATTAACATACACTCGTAAAACTTTCGTTGTTGACAGAAGGCTGGCTTTGCGGCTATGCTTGAGAATAACCAGCGCTGTAGTGTCTTCTGAAGTGGTGAAGTTAGGAAAATCCGCAATTGAGGAACGTATGGCAAGCGGTAAATTTGCTGTTTAGCTGACCAGATGACAAGACTATAACTGACAGATATTTTCGATACCATTCATACTGAATTTACCCAAGTCACCGATATTTCAAGGGAGCGTTTTTAGAGAGTAACGATTCAGCTATTTATTCCTGATACCAATCCATTGTCAACGTTTCCTGAACCTTGTTCGCTAGTCCAACGAATTTAGAAGAGTTTGATACTTTGAGGTTTCGGTGAGTTGTAATTGACGAGTTTTGGACAATATCACCTGTCTAACAGAGCGGGCATGCGCAATACTTTTAAGCCATTCCTTAACAGGAAGCTAGCTTCAATTACCAGTATTGATTGGTAGGGAATTCATTGTAAAACATCTGATCATGAGGCTTCCAGACGAAAGAGGTGCTTGAGGCTAGCCGAACTGAACGCAGCACTCCATGATGGAAGCAATTTAAATTTAGAATTTCATTTGCATAATCCTGAAGTAGAACGGATTTTGTTTTATGCTATGTTGTTAAAATAAACAGGTTATTTCAAATGATGGTAAGTACTACCTTTGATTTTGCTCCGATCCAGATTTCATTATGTTACTGTAAGAAGCATCGACTAAAAATCTGGAATGCTCAGATCCGAAGGGTCAGAAGGGCCATTGAGAACGATTATAGCTTGAGAATTCAGAAAGTGGATGTGCTTCTTCTTATTTTGTAGTCCAACAATAAA